AATAAAAGAGCTGTGATTTGAACTAGGGAGTCTGACGTCAGAGCCTGTGTTCTCACCCGACTTTTAGGAAAAATAATTCACGAGGGGCCCCACCACTCCCAAGGCTGCACCTGAATGTCAGTCATGCTGAGGAGGGGTAAGTACCCAGGTGCTCTCATCTATAGCTTCAGTGAGAAAGAGGAGGAAAAGCCGATCGTATAACATAATGAATTCTCAGGGGAAGAAAAATTGGCAGAAATTGTCAAGGGACACCTCTTAAGTTTGAAGAAATGTTATAGTGCTTTGTTTTTGTTTTTTAATATAAAAAATGTCCTGTTCCGGAAAGTGCTGTAGGTTTCGGGGCAGTTAAGCTGCCTTTATTTGCAATGCCCTTGTACCTGCCTCTCATTTGGGCCTCAGGGCCTGGGAGTCCAGCTTCTGTTGGAGAAGAGTCCGGCAAACCAGAGGCAGCCCCTGAGCACAGTGGCTCAGCAACAGAGGGTCAGCTGCAGAGCTCTGCAGAGATGCCAAAGGTCCTGAAAGACAGAGGAGCTGGAGAAGGAGGAAATTAGTACCTGCTGGGAACTTTGAGCCCAGACTCCATGTGCATTTTAAAACACGTCATATAAATTTACCCTCTTAAGAATTTCTAAGGGATAGCACAGCATAGTTAATTATGTGCATATGGTGATGCAACAGATCCCAAACTTTTTCCACCTGGCGTGATTAAAATTCTGTGCCCATTCCCCTTCCCCAGCCCCTGACAATCACCATTTTACTCTCTGTTCCTATTGGACTGCTTTGGATACCTCACATAAGTGGAATTACACGGTATTTGTCCTTTGGTGACTGGCTTATTTCACTGAGCATATGTCCTCAGGGTTCCTCCATGGTGTAGTATGTGACATTATTTCCTTTTTTGAGGCCAAATTTCTGTTGTGTATACATGCCATGTTTATCCGTTCATCCCTCGATGGGTGGGGATGTAATGTACAGCATGCTAATAATTCTGTGTTGCAGATTTGAAACTTGCTAAGCAAGTACATCTTAAAAATTAGAAGAAAATAAATCTGTAACTATCCGATGATGAATGTTACTAGGTTTATTGCAGTGATCATTTCACAATGGATACAAACATCAATTCATTATGTTGTACACCTGAAACTAACATGATGTTGTATGTCAATTATACCTCAATTGTATCTCAATTTTAGTGTCTGCCCAGACAAAGTAACCATTTAAGCTGACCCTTATACTTCAATTTTTAAAAAGCTATCTGTTCTTACAGTAGTAATATTGCAAAATGTGTTCAAAATTGTTGGTTTAGGTCAACAAACAGAATCCAATAAGTGGTTTAGCAGAGTAATGAGTTAAATTTACAGGCTGAAGTTATACAAATGTGTTACAGTGCATCTGTGATGAGGGAGATAAGAAATTCAGAAGCGTTGCTTATTTGACATGAGCCATCTGCCTTCTGTCTTCTCTCAAAGTATTTTCACATTCTGTTACACACCTCTTGGGTGACTACAGTGACAGAACAGAGCCTGTAGTTAGGAGCTGGAGAAAACACTGAAGTGATTCTTTAGCCGCTCAGAATTCCTCCCAAGCCTCAGCACTGTTCCTAGTTTGACCCACCCACCATTGTTCTGATGTGGTTTCTGTAAACAATGACCTGTTAACTAATAAGTGACCACAGGTAGACAGCCTGTTTGCCTCAGAAGTCTAGGAACTAACTTCAGTAGAAGCTGACTCCAACCTTTGCACAGTCCCACTCCAGGGAGATTTGCTGACCTTCAGTCACTAATCTGAACAGACTGTGTTTTCTTGCATGTAGCCCCCTCAATGAAGAATTTTCAACCCCCTCCTTTTAATTCCTTTGTTCTGATTTCTTTTTTCTTCCTCCTTACAAAACCCCTTGCCCAGGTCCAATAGTTAGGATGGTCTTTGTGATGTGAGTCTTGTCATCTTCTCAAGCTGCTGGCTCTTAAAGAGACTTGCTTTGCTTCCGCCAGACCCTGTCCCTTGATTATTGGCTTTCGAGTGGCAGACAGCCCTGAACCTGGGCTCAGTATCACTATGATACCTCCTTCCTTACTCTGGTTAACACAGTAAAAACTCATCTCCATGACAGAGGCCATCTGGACCCAAGAACCCCAGTTCCAGGTATAAACCAGAAACTCCACTCATCTGCACGTGGCAGTAGGCATAAGAGTAAGTGCAGGAAGGCAGTACCAGGGAAAAACTGGAGCACCTTAAAGAGGCAGCATAGATGGAGTCCCTGATGTGGTAGATAATCTTGGTTGGAAGCCAGGTTCTTCCACTTGCTAGCTGTGTGACTTTGAATGGGTTACTTAGCCTCTCAGTCTCCTTGTCTATAAAATAGGGTAATGCTACTTGTTATGAGGATAGTGGATGAAATTTTTTTAAAATGTGGAACTGTGCCTAGCAGATAATAAATATTACATACATGTGCTTCAGTGGAACAATGCAGAAAGTAATCCAGTCATGAAGTCTCATACTACACAGTAGCTAAAATGAATGAATTAGATCTACATATGTCAAGTAAGACAGGTGTTGGAAATATGTTGTGCAAGACAAGCAAGTTATAGATCAGTATTATACATGTGTGTGTATATATATTTCTAAATTTAAGAGACAATACTACATACTTTGATGGCTACACACACACAGCTGAAATGCAACAGTGTGGTCCAGAGTGTATCTCCCCCATGCGCCACGTGGGGTAACAGAAGGGAGAAGGGAAGGGAGAGGAATTGGGGGCCAGCGGAGAATACTCTGGACCAGCGGGGAGCTGGCATCCCCTGGGACAGAGGCCGTCACCCTGTGCAGGCCCCCCTGGGCTCCTGTGCTGGTGACCCGGACTCGGAGGGCTCTGCCTTTCTCTGTTGTCTGGGCCACTCCACCCCACCACCTCCCCACTCCCCACCCCTACCCCCTGCCTGAGCATGGCAGGCCCGCTTCTCCTTCTCACCCTCAGTGTCTGTCTCTATAAACTGGCTCTTAATCATTTGTTGGATTAAATTTCAAAACAGGAAATCTTAGGAATGTGTTGAAACGATTTGAATGCCAAGACATTTATAAGCTGGTAGTATGGCAAAGTCAGTACGATAATCCTCCCGACAGCGCGGGGAGAGCTACGAGTCCGCCCTTGTGCGCTCCTCTCACCCAGCTGGCTGTGCCCGGTGAAGGGCGACTGGGGGTGGTGGAGTGTGGCTCTGAGACCCGACGCCAAGAGGACGAGGCCCAGGGAGGTCTCCGCTTTACGTGGTGCAGGCTTACCGGATAAACTCGAGGATGGACTGGCTGTCTGGGTCCCTTCTGGAGCCACCACTCATATGTGTCCCCCACCCCCACAGTCCTTCCAGCTCGTCTTCATCCCGCTCCTTCTCCTCTCCAGGGTCCTGCAGCCCCTCCTCCCCTACTCGCCCTGCGCTTTCTTCTCCTCATCTCTCCCCGGAATCGTCGAGGCTACGAGCCATCGTGTCTACCTCCCTCTCACCAGCTCCAAGGTTTCATTGCTTTCTCTGAGTGCAACCGGCCAAACCCCAGCCCTGGACAAGCCCAACTATTAAACTGGTTGGTGCCCTTCATCCTCATCCTCGGCCCGTGGAGCTCCGAGGTGACGGGGAAGTGACTGATGTGTCTGCTGTAGGAACGTGCCTCGGATGGAGCCTGTCCCTTCAGCGCGGGGCCCCAGAGCAAGATGCTCAAGGCAGAGCCACCCGGCGACTCAGTCTGCGCCGCCTGGAAAAGGCGTGGCGAGAAGGCTGCGTCCCCTTGCGGCCCACTAGCCCGGGTTCGGGTTCGGGCGCCGGGTGGGCGTCGCTCGCAGCGCTCTACCCTCCGCCTGCCCCGGGCCGCGCAGGAGAAAAGCAACCAACGCTTCTGAGCACCTGCTGGTGCTAAGGACTTAAACACACTGAATTAAATTTAAGTTAAAAAAAAAAACAAAAACACGAAGTAGTCGTTAGTTTTCACATTCTGCAGACAAAGAAACAGACTCAAGAAGGTGAAGCAACTTATTCGAATTTATGATTTCAGAGTGACAGAGTTCCAAACCAGGCCTCCTGACTTCTGAGAAATGTTACTTATCCCTCCAAATAGGTTACAAAGATCAGATGAGGTTGCGAGAGTCTCTAATTGCCCTCTCCACGGAAGATAATTACAGGTTTTTTTTCCTTAACACTAGTTATCAAAGAAGAGACACTCGCCTTGTCATGTGTAAACCAGAAGGGAAGTGTTTAAGTGTACGGGTGGGATGTGGCTCTCATACCACAGATACACTTCACCCTGACACCTGTATCAATATGGATAATGGGCTCTATGCATGATTCGCTGTTCGGAATTACCCTTTTATCTTTGAGGATCAAAATATCCTGTTCTCTGACTCAGAATAGCTCTAAGGTATTCTTGCTGAACTAATGTAGTGTCGTTTCAGAAACCTAATGCCGTCCTCCCTCTAGCGTTTGGAATTAATTTCTCATAGAATAGCTCTGCTTTTTGCCATAAGGCTTCTCTGTACTCATTTTGGTCACAAACCTTTGAAGTTTTAATAGTGTATCTTGGGCAAATACAAAAGCAATGTTGATTTTTAAACAAAAGATGAAAGTATGGAAGAAAGTCGTTTTTCTTTCCCTTTGATCTAAAAGTGAGACTCCTGAGGCATCTCAAGGTACAGAGGGAGCAAGGAGGGGAAAGAGGAAAAATCAGGGGAGAGGAGATAGGAATGTCCTGGAGTGGGAGGCGACGAGAGATTCTGCAATTGGGGCCCTGGGCAGTCGTGGAGAACGACTAGAGAAATTCACTGCTACACATCATATATCTGACAGGAACATTGAGGAGCAGACCTTTCAGACGAGCCCAGGGGCAAAGGTCTGGGACTTCTCACTGAAAAGGATTTGGTGCACACTCAAAGTTGGGCTGTGTTGACTGAAAGCAAGCATTAATGAGAAAGATACCATATTTTACTTGGATTTTAAAACTTTTTCATGAGGAAAATTTACTTTTTTTAAAGTTTTTCTTATAAAAAAATTTATGTTGTGCAACCATAGTGCAGATTACAAGATGGAAAACCTGTCTTCCCCGAGTCACAGAGCAAATCACTTCTTGTTTCATGTCGCGGGGCCTCCCAATGCCAGCTGCCTTCTTCCTTGCACAGACGATTCCTGCTCCTTCTGATCACCCTCTTTGCTTCAGGGAAACTCCACTTACTTCATTTTACACCCAGCCAGCGATCCTCCTCGGTTTTTGCTGTCATCCACATCTCCTGGGAGGTGGGCTGCACACAGTCTGGGCTCCCGCAGCCTTTATTTGATCAGCCCCTGGGGCATGACTCGCCTGTAGGAGCACAAGCTGAGGCCTTGGTGAGCCCTGCAGTGCTGCCCCTCTGACACGTTAAGGCACTGGGTACAGCAGTTTCCAGTGCCAGCCACAGTGAAGAGGCTCAGGGCAGTGCTTCAGCGCAGGGCAAGTCAGTGCCCAGGAAGGGACAGCCACAGTTATGGCATCTTCTGAGCGACAGTGGGAAGCTAGGTCATTATTGGTATTTTTGTTTGACTATAATTATGAGGGTTTCTTTTTTAAAAAAATTAGGTGGCCATTATTCATTTCAGTGGGAAACCTAGTTGTACAGACTGTAAAGCCAGGAAACGAAGGTGGTGTCAGGTCCACATGGGGGCAGCAGGACATGGGGCGTTTCATCAGTTCCAGATAAGCAACAGCCTCTTTTTGCATGTTGGGTCGTTTGCTGGTTCTTTGTGCACCTCCCTCACTGGAGTGGAAGTTCCACGAAAACAATCCCCAAGGCTGCTTTGTTCCCATTTGCAACCTTAGGGGTTCCAGGCACATACAGACACATTAATATTTGTTGATAGAAGAGGAAGGGAGGAAAGGGGGAAGGAGAGAGGGAGGGAAGGAGAAAAGAATAGTATCCATATCTGGCTGACTTTTACTACAGGTGATTTTTGCTTCCGAGGTGCAAAATGTAACCCTGTTTTTACATGTCCAGTGCTCTCAAGTCATTTCCAGGACCCACCTCCCACCTGCCTTTCCCTCTACACTCCTGTCTCGACCATATTCCCAGACTCACTGCAAACTCCAGCTGTTGCAGTGTGTGGAGACTGAGGAGTCAACCAGCTGATGAACAAACCCATCTGTGCTCGCAGCAGAATGCCAGAACTTCCTAGTAGTAAGGACACTTTAGGGAGACTTACAGCGATAAGGGACACTCCTTGTTTCTGTCAAGCTATTAGAAACTCCAGCTTTGCCAGTTCCAGACTTGCCGAAGGCTCCAGCTCAGCAACTGTGACCCCTGTGGCGAAGCAGGGCCCCTGGGTAGGGTTGCCTCCTCCTGCGCTGAGCGCACCACCCAGGATATTTGATATGACTGGTATTGTGGATTACCTTTAGCATTTCCTTTAAGCTGAAGAGGAGCTAAAGGAAGTAACGGTAATACAGTTCATTAAATTTAAAAAGACAGAAGACTCTGCAGAAGGAGTTTGGATTCTTGCCCTGATGCAAATGTTGCAAAAATACCTTTTGTCCCCAAATTCCTTCTCCTTGTGTCAAGATGTACCCACACAATGGAGATCTGAGATGTAAAGGTAAAAACTGCTGAATTAAGGTATGTCCAATCCTTTATGTTGTTGTTTTGTTTGTTTTAGAGCAACTGTTAGAATTGACTTCTTAATCTTCGTGTTACCTTTTTCAAGACTTAAGGTTGTATATGACTAACTTTAGTCTGCATGTCTTCATGTTTACAGGACAGGAAGAAACTAGCATTTATAGACTTTCCCCATATGTGTCCTCATTTAATATTCAAAACAACTCACTGAAGTATGCCCCAAATCTCTTTTCACAGATTAGGAATCTGAGACCTAAGAGGTTAAGTCCATTCCTTGCTCAAGGTCATATAGCTAATAAATGCAAATCTGAGTTTTGACCTCAGACTTGTCTGAAGGACTTGCAGAGAATACGCTAATTCTGTTTTCTCTCTCACACAGTTTTCTGAATCTTAAATTTAAGACATTAGATTCTCTCAAGATTGCCTGAATGTTCTTCCATTTTACCATTCTCAACTTTTAAGATTTTTTTTATCTTTGGGACATCTCTAGTCTTATTTTTCATAGAAAGAAATTTGGTATCATTTGTAATAGTATTTAAGTATTTGTAAGTCTCCAATAGCAAGGTCCCCCAAGATCTATTGAAATTGGGTCTGATTAAAAGTTTAAATATGCAAACAAGCAGTATGTGGATATGGCAGCACGTGGGCTGAACTAGAATTGGTAAAATTAATAGAAATGGTGCTGTATTAACAGGAAGACAGAAGTTCATCTTTTAAAGGTAAAATGACTCAGAGTGAAAATGCAGCACAACTAACACTTTTTAATTGCTTAAATATTCTTTCCTCTATGAAAGCTGATAGGCTTCTTTTCTCAAAAAGGTGTCAAATGAACTTTCTCAAAGTAAAATCTAAATTCAAATCTTGTATTTTGAGCATATGTATGTGGCTAAACTAACCTTTACCAGTTTTTGATTGCTCTCCCTCCCCCACCAAAAAAGGCAAGCTTGTTCCCGCTACCTACCATTAGGAAATGCAGCCTGCTAAGCACAAAGGAATGACTTGCAGAGAGCACTTCAGCCAGGGACAGTGTGACTGTACGTACCAAAGTCTTGACATCCTTCTAATTTAGCATTTGTCCCTTCTCCGTTTTCCCTCAAAACTCTGATTTGGATGAGAAGTTATGTGGTTATTATTGGCCCTGTCCATACATCATTTAAAATTCAAGTTAGCTTTGCCCTGGCTAGCATGGCTCAGTGGATTGGGCACTGTCCTGCAAACCGAAAGGTTGCTGGTTCGATTCCCAGTCAGGGCACATGCCTGGGTTGTGGACCTGGTGTCAGGTTAGGGTGCATGAGAGAGAGAGAAGCAATCTCTCTCACGTCAATATTTGTCACCTTCCCTTTCTCCCTCCCTTCTCCTCTCTTGAAAAATATTTTTATTTCATTCAAGTTAGCCTTCCCTCTCCCACCTAAATACCGACCTTCCATCTGAGCCCTCTGCCCAGCTCCAATCTTTCTTTCCTTCCTTCACCACCAAACTTCTTGAGAAAGTAATCCACATACCTCTTCTGGCTCATTCCTTCCCTTCCTTCCTGCTCCTAAAGACTGAGTTACCAACCAACCGTCACATCAGGTGGTACTTCTCTATCTTTGCCTTAGTCTGCTCAGGCTGCTATAACCGAGTACTGTGGACTGAGTCACTTACAAACCACAGACATTTACTTTTCACAGTGCTGGAAGCTGGACGTCTGAGATCAGGGTGCCAGCAGGGTTGGGCTCTGGTGAGAGCCACCTTTGGAACTGCAGGCGGCCCGCTTCTTGTAGACAGACATCAGTAAGAGAATGGCCTAGCCCTCTGGCCTCTTCTTCTAAGGGCACAAATCCCCTCATGGGGGCTACACTCCTGCAACCCAATCACCTCCCAAAGAGCCCACCTCCTGATACCACCAGGTTGTGGTTAGATTTTAACATGTGGATGTGGGGAGACACATCAGTCCACAAATCTTTACCTTGCTTCATATACTGATGGTGCTGCTTATTCTCTCTCCCATCCCACTTCCTCTGTGACACATTCTCCTGTTTCCTCCTGTATCCTGGCTTCTTCCCAGCATCCTTTACAATCTCCTCCCCCACCTAAAAGCTCCTGTCTCAGTTTGCCTTTGCTCTGTGCACTATCCCTGGGTCACCATGCCCCATGAATTATTCTATCATCAACTTGATAAAGGTTCCCAAGTTCATCCAGTTACACTTTGTTTTATTCAACAAATATTTGTGGAGCACCTACAAAGTACCAGTCACTGCTCTGAGTCCTGGGTTATATCTGTGAACAAATTGTAAGGGGACAAGTTCCTGCTCTGTGTGGACAGTAAAAGTCCATAAACAAAGTAAGCAAATGGGACAGTATGTTAGAGGATGATGGAGATCTAGAATAGAGTAGTGGAGGTTGGGGGGAGCCCATTTAGGTGGAAGGGACAGAGAGGGCTTCACTGAGGAGGTAAAGCAACTGCCAGGAAGGAGGTGGAAGAGGAGAGAGTGAAGAATCAGAACAGTACAAAAAATGGGAAGAGACAAGACTGTACCTGTCATTTTCAAAGGATGACAAGAGGCCAGTTTAGCTCTGAAGCAAAGTGAACAAGGAGTGGGGTAAGGTTGGAGGGTACAGAGCTCTGACCTTATTGGGCCTAGAGGCCATTGCTGGGACTTGTTTTACCTGGGACAGAACTGTGAGCTGTGGCAGGGTGTTTGGTTGAGAAATGACATTGTTTTACTGAAGTTTTAAAGAAGCACTGTCTTAGGTCAGGTTCCCAGTGGAGCGGACTCTGAAACTCAGGTTGCATGCAGTTTCCTTAGGACACACCAATGAGAAGTGACGGAAGCAGCATGGTGCAGAGGAAGTTGAGCTGTGACGCAGCTTCAACGCAGCTTCAACACAAGCCGTGGCTGTCTACAGTTACTTCAGATCTTTTCAGCCCTGTCACTAGTCACTGGAAGCAGTTGCCTCAGGAGAGGGGACTGTTCCCTGGGGCAAGGCAGCACCCTGCAGCCAAGAGCAATTCCCAGAGATTCAGGGAAAGTCTGAGCAGTCCCCAGGCTCCACCCTGGAAGGGGTCTGGGTGGTACCCTGCACTTCTCAGTCTGCCCTCGCACCCCTCCCATAGACCTGGGCCATAGAGGAAGCCCAGGAAACACTCGTCCATTCCTGTTGGCCCTCACTGCTGCAGCTTGTCTCAAGGTGCAGATGACACTGTCACCTTCTTCCACTGCTACCCAAGGTAGATTTGCCTCACCCCAGCGACACGGCAATGAAAGTGGTCCTGCTAAAGGCTTGGTGGACCAGAGAAGCAATTCTGTCTCCTACCTGGTCGATCATGGTACGCTGCTCAAAGCCACTAGCTGACTGCTCTCCACCCATTTCAGAGTAAAAACCAAAGTCCTTATTGTGATTTATACCGTATCTTGCTCAAGACTTCATCTTGGACTGCATCCTTGGTTAGTTTCCTCCTGTCACTCTGTTCCCATCACACCACCTCCTCCTTCCTCCTTGAACACGTTTGTAGGATGATTCAGCAGTATGTTTTCCTGCCCTCCTTGGAGAAGCCCTGAACATGTAGAGATCAAAATACAGGAGCCGAGTTGCTGCAGACTGAGAAGTTAAGAGTTTTCTGCCTCATGGTGTAAAAAGTTGTCTTCTGCAAAGATTTTCAGATAGCCACATGTAGTCACTTAAAAGAATTCAGCTATTGGCTAACTAAAATAGAGAACTAATCATTTCAATAGTGCACTTTACTTGGGCAGTGTATTATGCCCTAGGCAAAGGATGCCCCAGTCCTGACACCCCTGAAAAGAATGTCTGGTTTTAAAAGGTTTCCCAACTACTCACTGAAAACAGTGAACTTTTTATTGTGCATGTGTCCAGGCAAGATGGTTTCCTTGAGGAAAAAAGTGAGGGACTGACAGCTGCAGAGAAACATTAATGATCAAAAATTAAAAGAATGAAAAAAAATCTTTCTATAGAATTGCACACACAGTATACATTTTGGCTACTTGAGAGATTCCCAAGGCCAATGTGAACATCACTGGTTCGCAATAAGAACTGGACCCTGTAATGGAAAGAAGAAACAGCAAGAAGTGGCCGTCATAAAATGAGCAGGCCCTTGGAAGTGGCAGTAACGGGGCAGAGGCCCAAGGCTGGAGATGAATAGGAGGGTCACTCTGGTGGACTGGAGAAGCAGTTCGTCTCCTATCTGGTTTTAAATTTCCCTTTCTGTATTGCATTTTCTTAGCCTAATCCTTTAATAAAGTCTGTGAAATGTGACAGCCATGCCTTCATGGTGTGATTTGGGGGATGAAGAGAGGTACTGTGTCCGTATTTGGGGTGGAAGCAGAGGGACAAGTGCCGTGGCCTAAAGTCACTGCAGGCATAGGGAGTGGAAGGAGAATATTGGAGCAGCAATCTGGAGCAGAGGGGCAAGGTGCAGTCATGATGGACTTGTGGAAAAGCACACACCTTGGAGACATTTATAGATCTCTAGGGGGAGACTACAGTTTCTGGAGGTGCACATGTGAAGGGCCCAGACTGCACTCTTGGGGATAGAAAGGGAAGGTGTTCCTCCCTTCCCATCACCAGAAAGGGAAAGAATTCGTACATGAAATATCTATTATAAAGTGCTCAGATCTGAAGAGAAAGAGAAGGATGGGATAAAGGAGGATTCTGACATGTTTTTTGTTTATATTAGTATTTCTTGAGTTTATTATAAGCATGCATTAGTTTTTTAATTAAATGTAAAGTTAAGGGAAAAGGTCAATAACTATGAAAAGTGAGTATAAAATTCATCAGACATAATATATTTGTGAAAAATGAGAGTACTGGGGGGAGAAATGCCCACTGGATTATAAAATATTATAAGACTACAATCATTACAGTATTTTAGTGCTGATATAAGGATGGATTCATACAAAAATGTGGCTCAAAAACTATTACGTGTAAACATTTTAATAAGGTGACATCTTAAAGTAACAGGGAAAGAATGTTCAGGGACAATAGATAGCTATGCAAAAAACAATAAATAAATCTTTTTAGGAGATCCTCATACCACATTCCAAAATGAATTCCAGATGGATTGAAGTTTAAATCAAGCAAATAAGAATATCGGTCAGATCTTGTGATCAGAAACAATACCAAAATATGAGAAAAGATAAAATACTGATGTTTTGAATTCGTAAAAAATTTTCAATGGTTTTTGTGTCCAAAAAGTCACAAAATTAAGAGATAGAAAAACTCTTAACAAATATAATTATAAATAATTATAACAAATATAAATGTAAAGAATTCATAACCTTAAGGTTATCTTATATAAAGAGCTCATACAAATAGATAAAAGGAAAAATACACAGAAAAGTTCCAAGAGAAGTAATAGAAACATCTAATAAGCAAAAATATTTAATCTCAGGATAAAAATGTGTCCTTTGAATTAGGATTTTTTAAAAATGCTAGAGTGGGTGGGATAAAACTTACTTATTTAAGGCAGACATATAAATTAATACAATGCCAGTATGAACAAAGGGAAGTAATTTTTAAAATATTGAAATAATATTTAAAAAGAAAATCATCTGAAATGTGGTTGAAGTCTTACACACAGAAGTGTCAACATTATTTATTATAGTGGAACCTAGAAAAATCTATTATGTCCAATAATAAGGGGTAAGGTAAGAAATCAGTGTGAACAAATGATTACATAATTGAAAGTTGTATTTTCTGCCCTGACCAGTGTGGCCCATGGGCATTGTGCTACAAAGCAAAAGTTTGCTGATTCAATTCCCAATTAGGATACCTGCCTGGATTGTGGGTTTGGTCCCCTGGTCAGGCTGCATACAAAAAGCAACCAATTGATGTTTCTCTTTCATATCGATGTTTCTCCCCCTTTCTTTCATCCTCTTCCCCTCTCTATAAAAATAAATAAAATCTTTTTTAAAAAATGTGAAAATATTTGTTATATGTTAGGAAAAATTAATGGATGTAAATTTGTGTGACTGTCAATATTTTCTTAATTAAAAGGTTAAAAATAGCCCTGACTGGTGTGGCTCAGTGGATTGAGCACCGGCCTACAAACCAAAGGGTCACTGGTGTGACTCCCAGTCAGGGCACATGCATGGGTTGAGGGTCAGGTCTGCAGTATGAGGTACGAGAGAGGCAACCACACATTGATGTTTCTCTCCCGCTCTTTCTCTCTCCCTTCCCCTCTCTCTAAAAATAAGTAAACAAAATTTGGGAAGAAAAAACTAAAAATAAGAATATAGGATACATATCTCATATGATTTAGCTTCTTTATATTTTTCAATATTTCCAAATTTATTTTCATGAGCATGTATTATTTTTGTAGTCAGGAAAAAAATTCTCTCCCAGAGACTTCAAGATAAAATCCAGATTCCTTAGCATAACATGTAGCCAGGACCAGGCCTTTGCCTGCTGTTCGCCTTTCACCATTTCCCTGACCTAGCTCTCCTAAGGTAATACCAAATGGCTTGCATTCTCCCAATTGCCATGTCATCATTATGTTGGATTTGTTTATTTATTTCTTTATTTTTGCCTAGGTGCTCCTGAGTGCCCTTCCCACGTTCTGGCCTTCTTAATTGACCTTTCTGATTTCAAGCCCTAGCCCTGTGTTTCAGGGATAACCTTCTCTGGGATAGCTTAAGACAGGTCAGAAACCTCCCAGTTATGCTGCCATAACACCCTGTGATTCATTTCTCAGAGCACTTATCATGGTGAATTGTACTCATGGTGACCAGTCACCCTGGTTTGCCTATTGATGTGGACACTGGCCCACAGTGTCCATGGCATTATGGATGTGACAAGATGAATTCACGCGGACTACCGAGTCTTGTGGAGGAAAAGGGACCACATGGCTACTCTCTCAAGGGGAAAGCACCTCGACCCTTGCCTTGACAGACTTTTATTGGATTTTTAATAGTATACATCCAAGAAGGTTTTCATTCATTATGCTTAGGTTTGGTTTAGGTAATTGCTTTTTTACAGATAGCAAGGGAAGGGATGTTACTGATTACTTCTTACAGATTAACAAGGAAAAAATGTTGCGAATGCAAGGGAACAATACCACTAATTGGTCTGGTTACACTTCAATCCTTGGGAGAGTTAACACAGACTTCAGGAAGTTACTTTAAAGACATGCAGTAAGTATTTTCTGCCTTAACTCAGGGTGAGGGAGTTTTAGCAAGAGCAAACCACAAAGCAGCCTAGTTATAATGTAGGCTGGATTTTCCACAGGAGAACTGATCTGTGGGTTTGGCTCCTGTGTGCCACAACGTACCTACTGGGCTTTTCAATAGGTTTGAGTGACAATTGCCATTGCCAGGCAGATCTGGTTCTCTACAGCCTCTCCCCAATTTTAATTCTCTGTTAACTTGTTCAACCCTTAGACTCTGACGCTACAGACTTTATTATCTCTGGATTGTTAAAATTTATTTCCATTATACCTATTATCTCATAAGGTTTACCCAGCTTAGTCTTGAGTTTATTAGGGGCCAAGTGACACATGTAAATGGAAGGAAGGGTCACTGGTCCTAGGAATAGGTGATGTAGGTGGCTACCCCTGTGGTGATACCTGAAGATGCTGAGAAGTTATTCACCATGATTTCTGTTACAGGCCTGTTGAAGTGCCCATGAAGTTTCCTCTGTAAGTTAAAGTATTCTTGTAATTGGAAGGAGCATCTTGATTAGTTAATATAGAAGGATGGTCTGTTTACTTCTCCTCCCTTTAGTGCTTATTGTAACTGTGAAAAGTTGTTTAAATACTGCTTTGAAACTGCAGTTGCTTGAAACTTCAATCTGCTCCCATTTCAGTCCCACATTCCCAATACCCCTACCCTGTTCTACTTTTTATATTTTCTGAATCACTCAACACCTTCTACATGCTGGCAAAATGCATTTCTCTATTACATCTATAGTTTATAGTCCACCCCTGCCCCCATTACCACAGGACAGGGATCTTCATTTTGTTCATTGATTTATCCCAAGTGCCTACAAAAGTGCTTGGCGCATAAGAGGCGCCTAATAAGTATTTGTTGAATGACTACATCTGCCTAAGTTAGAGATTCATCCTTTTTGGGTCAACTCATAATTCTTTAACCCAAACTGAAAATTTCAGGCTATCAAGAGAGAACTTTACCTTGCTTTACGATTAAAAAGCAGGACACCCTTAGTGACAACTAATTATTACTTTCTTGACAATTTCAATAATTGAAATGGAGAAAGCAGGTCAGCATGGTTTCTAAAGAATTTCTAATGAGAAATTTGTAGCCATTACACGTTCTCCTTCCTTATTTTTTTAAATCCTCACCCAAGGATATGTTCATTGATTTTTGAGAGAGAGACACATTGGTTAGTTGTCTCCTGTACATACACCCTGACCAGGGACTGAACCCACCAGGATGGACTCTCCAACCAACTAACCCACCCAGCCAGGGCTCTCTTTACTTGCTGATATACGTAAACAGTGATCTGGGAATTGGGCACTCGGATCTCTGTGATATTTGTCCAACAGCCATGATGCTCACAGCCTGCTGTTGTATTTCCAACAAGAAGGAACAATTGTTTTCTTGTCTTTAGGGTAATTAGGGGCCACAAAGAATATGTAGGGGCCCTAAAAACTGCAGCGTTTCTCAAATTCGCCTAATGTACTCTGGTAGCAGGCCTCTAAGGTGACCTCCAATGACCCTGGCCTCTGCTATGCACACCCTTGGTGGTCTTTCCCACAATGAATTAGGACTGCTATGTGTGACCAATAGAAGGAACACTGCAGAAGCAACAGTGTTGTGTCTTCAAGGCATTCATCATAAAAGGGCTTGCAGCACCTGCACTGGTGTCTTGGACTTCTTGCTTTTGGGGAAGCAAATTGCCATGGTGTGGGGACACTAAAGCAGCTTGCTGGCCTGCCAGGTAAGTGAGCCACCTAGGAAACACACCCTCCAGGGAAGTCAAGCCTTCATATGATCACAGCCCCAGCTGACATGTCCCCAAAAGTTTAGGGCACCCCCTGAACCAGAACGCAGCTTCCAAATTTCTGACCTACAGAAATCATGAGATAATAAATTACTATTGTTGTTCTAAGAGTTTTGGAATAATCTGTTAGGTAGCAATAGATAATAAACATACAAATCTCATTACAGTTGTCCCTCGCTATATTGCAGTTCACTTATTGCAGCTTCACTGTATCGCGGGTTTTAAAAACCCACAATACAATGCGGTATACAGTGAAGTATATGGTGACTGTACACTTCACTGGTGAGTACCATATAGGATTTTATATGTTGTTAAAATTACGTAGGTTTAAGAGTGTAGAAAGTATTTAAGAGCATATGAAGTGTTTATAAGAGTGTGGGAAAGGTTAATAAGAGAGTGGGAAAGGTTTACAAAGCCTTAAAATATATATAAGTAATAAATATAACGCCACTACTTGGTGGATTTTCACCTATTGTGGGGGGTCTCTGGAACATAACTCCCGCAATAGGTAAGGGAATCACTGTATAAGAAAAAACTGACACCATATTAGCTAACTTACTTTTATTTTACTTAAGTATAAACATACAGTATAAACTCGAGGCTTATAGCTTTTTTTGTTTTGCATTTTAATTATGATGTGTCTTGGCATGGTAGGCTTACAGCTTCTATACAACTATTAAACCAGATTCCAAAATTAAATCTAGACAATATTATAGTCTACATTTCGAATATAGTACAGACAATATTAGAAAACAATCCACTAAAGTCATTTTAATAGAGGGTTGTTCTCCTGAAATTAACTTGCCACTCAGCCTATGGCACTGACAGCGCCTGAGATGTCTCCTTCTGGACTGTCCACTTACTTGAATAAACTACCCTTTTCCATTAACTCTGTGTGAGGTGGATTTTGAATGGCTTTCAACCAAGACTTTCGCGACAACTTGCGGAAACTTAAAAACCATAAGCAGGCACCCACTTTCACCCTCTCCTGACGCTGTGCTAGTCATACACATCCCTCCGCCAGGGCCCTCCTGCGCTCCGCCAGCCAGCGGAGCTGCCGAGCCGGTTAGGGGCCTGCAGCTGCACTGGGGCCCCACGCCCCCGGGGAGCAGCGCGCAGAGCCCGCCCCCGGCCGCGCGTCCTCCGCTCTCGGGGTTCCTGTGCTGCGGGAGGCGCGCGCACACTCGTTCCATTCCCTACTCTGCGGCGTCGGCTAGAAGCCGGGCACGTGGCCTCCGCCCGCAGCTCCGTGCCTCAGAGGGGCCGCTTCTCGCCAGTACCCGGGGCACAGAGCCGGTCAGGGCCGATCTGCGCTGCAGCAGCACTAACACTAGATGGTTCGCTGCTCACGCACGGTATTTGGCAGCCGCGCCCGCTCTTCGGCCGAGGACACGTCAGCAAGAGCCTGCTTCTCACAGAAGGCAGCATTTTGCGTGACTGACAACAGGAGGCACTCACAGCTCCTAAGGCCTTCGCCTCCACGCTGCCAACCTCCCCCAGCGGGGGTAGCCTCTGAACGCGGATCCCAGCATTCCCCCCACCCCGCCCTCAGCCGTCGGGGGGTTTGGCCTCTGGAAGAAGGCGTGGAAAATGGACGCGCACGCTCCTTGTTAGGCCTCGCGCTTCACCTCCAAGTCTCCGAGTGACGTATACGTGCATGTGATTCTGGGAAATGTAGTTTTTGAGCCTTGGGGTCGCTGGTGCACCGCCCTCCTGGGCTCGAGCAGGACTTCAGCTCCCAGCTGGCTGGCGGGAGCGGGAGGAGATGCTATGAGAAGAGGCGGGGCGAGCAGGAGGGGGAAAAGAGGGCGGGGCCAGAGGGGGAGGCTGGGTGGAGGGGCGGGGCTCTGGCCACTAGGCCAAGGAGCTGCCGCCGCCCGCGGTCTAAGGAGCTTGAGCCGCAGAGCTGGGAACCCCGAGGAACGTGGACCGCGGCGGCGCATCCTGAGGTGCGGCGAAGGCGTCGGCAGCCCCATTTGCAGGTCTCCTGCCCTCCGCCGGGACGCGGGAAAGCCCGGCGCGCGGCGGGGGCGCGAGGTGGGGCTGGCGGGGGCGGCCAATGCGAAACTGGCTGGTGCTGCTGTGCCCGTGCGTGCTCGGGGCCGCGCTGCACCTCTGGCTGCGGCTGCGCTCCCTGCCGCCCGCGCGCGCCTCCACCGTCCACCCAGCAGGTGAGGGCCGGCCGCGCGGGCCGAGGGGCGGGAGTCCGGGGAGACGCGCGGCACAGATGGCCCTTTCTCTCCGCGGGCGTTACGGTCGGGCAAACCTGAGGGCGCTCTGGTCTGTGCGCGTCCCGCCGCTGTCAACTCCTTGCTTTTCTTCCCGGCCCCGAATCAGCGTCCGCCACCACTCGTCCTGCGGCCGCCCCAGGCCCCACCGGAGTCGCTCTCCTGCCGGGAGCAGAGCCTCGCGTGCCCTTCAGCTGCCAGCGGCTCGGGCCAACGAGTCGCTTCCTTCCGCCCCAACTTGTCGGTCTCGTTCGGTCAAGACTGAGCTCTTAGTTCTGTGGGTAGTGTTTGTGCGTGTGTTAAAGGTGGCGTGGCTTGGCTTCAAGAATATACGGTGTTTTGTGTTCTCTGAAAACTCTCTGATGTAGGTCGGTGAAACAAATCTAGACACGAACGAGCCAGGCGACGAGTTCCACCGGTGAGTTTGTAATGCAGTTCACGTGGAAACAGCACCCTCGCCACCGTCGCTGTCAAACCTCCCTTCGCGGGGAGGAAGTCGTGTTCACTTTTTGGCTTCATAACTAGAACGCTTTGCCCGTAGGAGGTGCCCATTTTTGTTGGTGGGCTCCACCGCCCAGAACACTACCTAAGGTTTCCCTATTTTTCTTCTTTTTAAAGGGCTTACCCTAGGACCTTTAAAGAAACCTGGAAGGCTCTTTTTAAAATGAGGTAATCGTCGTTTGCTTTTTTAACTGTGGGGCTTTTCTTTTTTTACCACCCTAGGCAGTTGTTTCCTTGTCCAGAAGTTTAAAAAATTAGAATTGACTATTTGCAGGGTTTATGCCTTAACTTTTAAGTAGAATCTAGAGAAGCTAATTTGGCAGTCTTCAAAGGAAGCTCATTGTTATCATTGCTGTTCTTTAGTCTGGTAACAGTCTCTTAACATCTTTTTTATTGGACAAACCACAGGCTCTTTGAAAAGGCTATTTGTGGCACCTGGATAGAATTTAAATGCTATTTAAGTGATTTAATGAAAGTACAGTGGTACAAGGTATTTAACCTTTTAACAGGTTAGGGTTTGGGTTTTTGGGTTTTGAAAACTGAACTGAGGAAAGGGTGCCATGTATAAAAAATGCTTTGTAACATTTGCTGGGTTTGTGTTTTACGGGTATCTGTTTGTGTGTGATGAATGAGGTCTCCTGGAATTCACTTCCACGGAGTCCTTAGGGTGTTTATGACCTTAACTGTCTTTTGGGTTCTATAAATGAGTGAAACCCTGTCTTCACACTTAAAATGTACTGGGCTGCCTGGCACTTTCCTGGTTTGAGATGAGTTTGTCCCACTCCCTTAGAGTTTGGATGATGCCCTCCTGTCATCCAGTTAGGCTGGGGGATGGGGAACTAGGAGGTGGACCCTGAAAAAGGGACAGGACTGAGGTGAGGACTCAGTTCTAGTTATGTAAATTTGACTTTAATGGATATTGTGCATCTGCCTAGGTGATAGAGTATTTTAATCTAAATAAAAGCTGACTGCCCTGACCAGCACGGCTCAGTTGGCTGAGCATTGCTCTGCTGAGCAAAACGCTGCTGGTTCAATTCCCAGTCAGAGCACATGCCTGGGCTGCAGGCCCGGTTGCTGGCTGGGGAGCATGCAAGAGGCAACTAATTGATGTTCCTCTCCTACACTGTTGTTTCTCTCCTTCTCTTTCTCCCTCCCTTCTCCTCTCTTGGATATTTATTTTAAATAAGTAAAAATTAAATCTTAAATAAAAGCTGGCTGTCCAGGAAAGTGGAAACTTTCCTTTTCCACTTATAGTGCTTCCAAAACTAAAGGCAGTAGAAGCCCCTTGATTGCTGAAATTCCCCTGCTATATGTTATAACCACATTTAAACTAAGGGGGGGGCAGTTTTTATTTCCCCCTTAACACCTTAAGCCTAAAGGGGGGAGATAACCCAAGAGTTTGTGAACTGTTCTTACCTTGAATTAATGTTGTCAGATTTGTTTTTGTTCTCTTTTCTCTCCTGCCTCTTCCTCTGTCTCCAGTCTCTTTAAGTCTGAGCAATATTTTTTGAAAGGGAGACAAAAGGCCCTCTGACTTGCCGTTGGTTCAGCACATATTTGAGAGCCTACTCTCTCCTATTGTGAGTGTGGAATTACAGCAGAATCAAGGTAAAGTCCCTGCATTCATGCAATTTACAATTTAGAAGGGAAGACAGAACATAGGAAGCAGTTATTAAATATCATAGGAATAGTGATAAGTGTAACGACAAAAAAGAATTTAAAAAAGTAGTGTAAGAGGCTGGAGAATGCTGTGCTGCTGTTTTAAATAGAGGTCAGGGGAAGTTTCTGAAGAGGTGACAGTTGAGCAGGGTCCTGAATGAAGGGCACCGGCTATTCTAATGCAATGACTCACTTTAAACAGCTGAACTACCCCCCCACCCCCCACTTCTCCCCGCTCCCCATCAGGGAGAGAACCTGGCGGTGGAGACAACCAGTAGACTAGAGAATATGAATATATGATATCTTGATTATAACCTATTAGTTTGGGATGGTGCCTTAGGAAGAATATTTTAACGATTAATTTAGAAAAATGGCGTGACCCAAAAAAGCTTCTCTGTCTAGGACATTTGGGAAAACGTATCCATTCCTATGCTTAGAGTGCTAGGTCTGGTGCAAGGTACGTAGTCCTTGCCGCCAGGTGCTCACAGTCTGTCTGATTGAAACAGACTCAGGCAGGTAGAGGCCAAACAAACAGAATTTGCTTTGCCATTTTGCCTGGGGCTGGTTCATACAGAATAATCCCTGTATACTAATCTTGTCTGTACTTGTTTTCTTATAAAATGATAATCTCATAGGGTTTTTGTGAAGATTCAGTGAATAAAACAGCCAGGACAGTGGCTGATTCCCAGTAAACACTCCATGAAATTTAGAGAGGATGTAAGAGTCTTGGTGGTTCAGGCCTTTGCTGGTGTTGGGAGGTACCTGAAATTGGTGAGGGCATGCCAGTGTATGTATGGTGATTGTCCTTATCAGTAGATCCCTGATGAACTTGTATGATTTCCTCATTTTCAGGGTGTCTGCCTCTTTGTGGTGGATGTCATCTGACAGCATGCACATAAGAGTGGCAGTTTTGGTGTGATTTTTAATAATCCTTGGATTTATTTAGAACAACCAGTTTTGAAGTCAGTGGTAGTTTTGGTGTGATTTTTAATAATCCTTGGATTTATTTAGAACAACCAGTTTTGAAGTCAGTTTCCCATAGTCTTTAATAAACTTTTGGGCATTGACTCTCTGTGCAGAGCCTTGCAGGTTGCCAGACTCACAGGATATATTGTGTATTAGCAAGACAAAGGGGGGCTGTCCTCAGGGAGCTTGTGTAGGGTTTTACTTCTTGACACGCTGAATTCAATTTGTTTCTTGTTATGTATCTGCCATCTAGAACAGCAACATAGGAGGTACTCAGTAAATTGAATGAGCGAATCAAGAGAATAAAACTAGGAAAGCATGAAGGAATTTGTCACCTGTAGTTGATCTGTTCACATTTCATGGTGACCTTATATTTAATTTTTTTTCTTAGGAAAGTAAAACACATTCTTTGTAGAAAAGTGTGAAGTTATTTAAGAAAAAACAGGAAAAAATTGTCTATATCAGACAGATTTTGAATGCATATACATACATGTTTATGAGAAATAAGTATTTTAAAATTTTTTACTGCTGTGTAATACACATTTGGAAAAATGCAAGTAACTATGCAGCTGGATATATTTTCCCAAACCAAATACACCCAACTAATCAACACCCAAATTAAAAACAAGAAAACTACCAACACCTAGAAACTCCCTTCAAGCCCCCTTTTCTCACTGCAGAGTGGTAATCCCATCCTGCTTTAATGGCAGAGACTTGCCTGAGTTTGTACTTTATTTAAATGGAACCATCCAGTATGTACCTGGTTCTTATAACCTGCTTGTCTTGCTGAATATGATGTAGAACAGTTTTTAATATGTTTGCAGTATAACTTTAATGGCTGCATAGTAAGTAGTCTAGCATATAGATACCTCAATCATAATTTATTTTTTAAAGAATTTATTTTTTAGCAAGAGGGAGAAAGAGAGAGACACACACATCAATGAGAGAGAAACATTAATCAGTTGTTTCTTATATGTGCCCCAACTGGAGACCAAACCCACAACCTGGGCATGTGCCCTGAATCAAACTGGTGACCTTCTGCTTCGCAGGATGACACCCAGCCAACTGAGGCACATCAGCCATGATTTATTTAAGTAATCCCTTATTTGTATATTTATGTAGTTTGCAGTTGTTCATTGTTAATAAAGTGACACTGTGATGAATAGAGATCTTTAGTGCATCACCGATTATTTCTTTAAAATAAGTTCTTAGACATAGAATTACTGGACAAAAAAGTTATACGGTTCTGAGATACGTGATGTATTTTGGCAAATTGTCCTGCAGAAGACTCTACAAAATTACATTCTTACCAGCAGACAGGAGATCAGCCCTTTCCTTGAAATAACTGTCACCATTTTCTTGAAAAACGAATCATTTGGGTAGTATCACTTAAGAAGAAATTTGTCAGTTTGAATGTAGGAGAAGACTTATTTTACTGCTCTCATTCAAACTCTGTTCCTAGTGAATGTGAACATTTTTTCCATAGGTTTGTAGGCCTTTTGCAATTCTCTTAGGAATTATCATTGTCTTTTGTCACATGTTTGTTTATTAGTTTTTCTTTTTCTCCTGTTTCCCAACACCAGCGTCAAACTAAGTATCCCATACTTACAACACACAGCAGTGGACGAGGGAAGTATAGAGCCAAACACTAGGAAGTGGAGGTAGAAATGTGGGCATTCCTTCGCAGTGTTTACCGCGCATTCACTTTGGGTCTCAGGCTGTGTAACACAGTCCTCGGCAGTCTGTCAGACTGATTCCCATGGATGGTATGTGGTAGAAAAAACCTATTTTTTAAAATTCAGATATACTTGAAAGTA